ATTAAGTTTTATATAGCCTTTTTGTTACTCTGTTAATTTAGTTTTTAATTTCCTGTCTAATTCACTATCAATTTAATTAATGTAAAATAAATTCAAACATAAAAAACTAATTGTAAACAATAGATAAAAAGCGCTAAAAAAGTTCATTAACTTTGAAAGCAATGTTGAAATAATAGTTTTTGTTCACATAATATATAAATTATTAAAAATCAAATTTAGATAAAAATTATTCAATTAATTATTTTAAAAGCTATATTAATATAAAAGTACACAATATGGTTGAATATAAATACTTTACATTCTTTAGATATTAAATTTAATTAAAATGATTTTAATATTGAAAACATGTTGAAAACAACAAAAATAATTTTAATAAAATTTCTCTCTAAATTTATCTTCCGTCAATTCTTGAGACATTCAATAGATATAACCTTGGTCTTATTATAGTTATTTAGTACAGTCTATTTTAATTATTACTTACATGTTGAGCATATAATTTCTAGTTAAGTTAGTTAGTCGGAAAATATTTTAATTTTGTCACATACTTTGTGATTTTCCATATTGAGGTTTAACTGTAACTATTAATAAATTAAAGTAATAAAAATATTAAATTAATATTAAAACATGACAACATTTTTATTTTTTATTAAAAGTTATTTCAAGTCAGCAGTAATGCAGTTTTTCATACAATATATGAGTTTATGAATTAGTTTGTAGAAATTTAAAATCATTTTCACCAAGATCTAAATAAAACTGTAAATATGGCCATTTATATTTTTAATGTATAATATAATTCGTCGCGATTTATAATAAAATGGAAATCTAAGTCTTATTGATTTTAATATTAATATTTTATATATTTCACATATATCAATAAATTAATGATAAAAATAAATTAATATATTTTATATCATTTTTACCTAGGTCTGTGTCGGGGATCAGTAAACGGCGGTAATCAACAGTCAACTGTGCGGCGCCGGGAGGGCACAATCGAGGGAAGGAAATCGTTACGTCGACAGCGAAACATCGACACCAATATATACTCGACATTAAAACGCGTTAAAAAACAAACCAAATCCAAAAGTATGGACACCAGTGGCGGCACCGGTAGGTCCGGTGCGTTGAAAATGGCCGCCAAGACTAATAGCTCGTCGTTTGACGAGTGTCTGAATACAACGCCAAACGGGTCCACCCCTACACCCATACCAACGTCCAGCTCTACCCCTATACCGGCCTCAATAGCGACGGTCGGCGGTAGTCGTCTGAGTGGCAGTCCCTTTGATGAGACGGCCGAGTGGGCAGAGATTGCCAATATTATGGCCTCGTTTGGCACCGGTATTGGACGGGACAGTAGTCTCGGCAATCATTTGAACACTAATGGCAGCGAAGATATGGACAACAGTTTTACCAGTTGTATGTCTAAAGGTTTGTGTGATTTTTATAAATTTTATAATATTATGTGGTATTGTTTAAAATATTTATCAGAAACAATTTATGATAAAGTTTTTTAAATGCTACAGTAGTTTGTTGTCCATGTACATCTATTTTGTTTATAGTTTTATTTAGGGTTAGATGAAATGCAATATAACCATTAGTGTTACTAATTGTATTTTGTTTTTAGATAAACTTTATATTTTTAATTGGTTAAGTTAAAATTATTATTTTTGGTTACTTAATTCAATTTATTTTTTTGTATTAATTAATATTAAATTAGAAATTTCTTTGAGTGATGCTGATAGTTTATTATGGATTATAAACTAATAATATAATTTACTTAATATAATAATACTTATTTTAATTTAGCTCTCTACTGTAAAGTAAAATAAAAATACCTTAAATGAATAATGTAAATTAATATTTTACTCTAATTTTGGGCTGGGAAGAACACGAATAAAATTATTATATCAAATCCATTCGACATTATTTATGCATCATTTTTTACCCTAATTATGATTACTATTGCCCACAGACTCGTCGTCGACGGACTTCGAGGAGCAGTCGGTGGAGGACTGGTTGGCCCGCATCGGCCTCTCAGAGTACGGCCAACTCCTGATAGTCAACGGCTTTGATAACGTGCTATACATGGGCTGTAACGCTATGGACGACACAGATCTGCTGGAAATAGGTGTGACAAACGCCTCGCACCGAGATCGTATACTGGGCGAGGCTAAACATTTGCCCAGGGTCAAACCGTTGGGCAAAAATCACAATCATGATTTAACCGTAGACCAATGGCTGGACAGTTTGCGACTGTCTGAGTACAGGCAATCGTTTGCCAGCAATGGTTATACCGAAATGACCAGGGTCAGAGACTTGTGGGAAGTGGAGCTAAACACGGTGTTAGAGATTAGCAAACTCGGTCATAGGAAACGCATATTAGCCTCACTGGGCGAACGGCTCCGACTAATGGATGATCTTGGCCTAAATGATCTCGATTTTGATAAATTGGTATAGCTCATTACAAAAAAAAAATTAATAACCATGGTCATTTATTAATTAATTTTATGTTTTATTAATAACTAATAGAATCTCAATATAAGCCAACTGTCCGTCGATGAAGGCCTGGACACGTGCTCTACACTTACGTCCGCACCAATTGAGTCGTCGGACAAACGGTTAAAAGCAGATTCCGGGGCCACAACAGGGGCCGAGTCGGGCGCCGCTGTCCAATGGAAACACCAGAACCGGGAACTGATAGATAGTTCGTGCAAATACACGGCCAACTACTTGGGCTCCACACTTGTCCGTGAGCTCCGGGGCATTGACTCGACCCGAGCCTCCATACAAAAGCTCAAACTTAGCACTAAAAATATTGGGAAAATACCTCAAATAATGCTGTCTATCAGCTATAAAGGGGTCCAGTTTATTGATGCTGAGACACAGGTATGTGTTAACACTACTTGTGTAATATAATATGTGTTTAATTTATGATGTGTCTATTGGTTACCCTATTATAGGTGATGGTATGCGAGCACTCCATACGTAACATACAATGCATTTGTCAGGACAGCGAAGATCTCAATCATTTTGCTTACATAACCAAAGAGTTGGAGACAAACAATCATTATTGTCACGTGTTTTCATCAAACAATACGGTAAGTCTGATCTATTTAGCTAGTTCAACCAAATTTAATTTAAACTATAGTGATTGTATACTGTGTGCAGACTGTATGTAATAAAAATTTAGTATAATATGGTATACAATATGAATTATTATTTAACTTTTGGGATTTAAGTTACCAATCATTATTTTAAAATTATATACTAGTAATCTATCTCTTCTATGTTATAATAGAATACTATTGTATATAATTTTATCATTATAACAATGACGATACTTTTAATGTTCAATGAAATAAATTGTCATGATAATTTTATTAATTAATTGTTTTGTGTTTATCCATAGGATTTAGTGACAGAAGTGATACTAACGTTGGGTCAGGCCTTTGAAATCGCGTATCAAATGGTATTAGAAAACAGCGATAATAAGACATATAATAATAATAGTAATCATAATCAAAGATTAACGCAAAACACGTTTAATACCAACACTTATAACAAAAATAATAGTAATAATAAATGTATGAATTTTTCTAATCCGCAACTCATTAATAATGATAACAATAGTTGTAATAATAATAATATTAATAATAAACAATCCAATAATATTGAAGATGATAAACGTGATAAACCGATGGTTGAAAATGAACATGATGGTTTAAATATAACTAATAGCACTAATAACAATAAGGTCAAATTAAACAACACGTATGTGACCACGATTAACATAACCACCACTAGTAATAATAGTAATAATAAACAACCGGCTATTAAACCTCTGCCACCCGCTAACGATCAAAAACCCGTTATAATGAATAACTATAGGGTTGCCAAAAATAATGGTAATTTGTTTGTCCATGTGCTTTTATTTGACTTATAATTTTAATTTTAACTGTACTCTTATAACTATTTATATTAATTTGATTAATACTTTGTATTAAATGTACAGTATTATTATGACTTAAAGTTTATAAACAAAAATTAGCTTTATGCTTTATCGTATTACTTTACAATTATTAGATGAATGTGAGATAAATTACACTTATAATTAGGGTGACCAACTCAAAATTTTCAAAACCGGGACATTTCATAAAAATTATAGAAAATTCCGGGACATTACAGGACATTTCATAATTTACCCAGGTATTTTNTTATAGAAAATTCCGGGACATTACAGGACATTTCATAATTTACCCAGGTATTTTTTAGTTAAATCAATTTTCCCCAGGACGCTCAATGGTATCTGTGAAAACCCCGCCGGGACAAAATGGTCAAAACAGGGACTGTCCCGGCCAAACCGGGACGGTTGGTCACCCTACTTATAATGTTAAATAAAGTTACTTTATACTAATAATTTTTATAATTATTTTGTGCATTATTAATATAATTTATTAATTATTAAATTAATTTCCCTAATAACAAAACACTTATAATAACTGTAATTATAAATGAAAATTGTTCTCTATGATTTATAAAAATAATATATTATTATGCTTCTGGAAAATTATTTCTCGTCTATAATTTATAAAATAAGTTTAAATAGAATTACAAATTATATTAATTTTTATAAATAACTTTAAACTACGTCAGACTGTAAATATAAATATAATTTACTATATGTTATTTATAAAATAATGTTTACATTTCAATTTTGGGCTGCCGTTACCAATTGCTATGTATTATCAATATTTAATTTTAATTAATTCACAATTTAAAAGCTAATATTTTTACATTATAAATTGTAAATAATAATAAAACATTTTTTTTAGGTCAAATGTCTACCAATGGTAAACCACATAAGGACAACAACACTACCGGCGCCGGCAGCTCAATACCTGTGTCCACCGGCACCGGTAGTCCCCCAACACCTGTCGTACCCGCGAAGCAGTCGACGGCCACATCGACGCCGGCATCGATCAAGACTACCGGCGCCGCATTGGTTGCCAGCGGTTCAGTACCGGTGCCGTACGCGCAGCCGAAGCCACAGTCCAAGCCCTTACCTATTGGTGGAAAACCGCTGCCATCGCCGCCCACGGGTGCCAAACACCAGGGTCTGAGTCGACCCGTGCCGTCGCCAAAGCCATCGACAATTCCCAAACCAGTGGCCATTAGTAGTGGTAGTAATAGTAGTGTTGGAGGGGTTGGGGGTCAGCAGCACAGGGAGGCGGTGTCAAACACTACGGCGATTACTCGACCCAAACCTGTGCCCCCATTCAAGCCTCAGATTTTGGCCAAACCTACAAATAAATAATGATTTAATAGTTATTATTATTATTATTAATATTGTTATTATTTTTGAGATATTAAAGTGTGACAAGAA